TATAATGATTTGAAGGTAACGAACAGACTAGTGGAGTCATTACTAAGAAAACCAAGAATCAGGAAGCATCATATTGCATTATATACAAATGTTATTTTGTTTTACGATAATAACATATATTAATATATTTTCATTATAAATTTACTGTGACAAAGATAGAAAATCAAAGTAGAAGATAATCTGCATAAGCTATACTATTTCAAAGCTGTACCTACTTTAGTGAATTAATTTACACACAGACACACACACACACACACACACATATATATATTTATAATTTTATAACAACAATCAACTCTTTACAGAAGATCTTTCGTTTTATTTTAATTTAAACACTAATGTCTTAAAAAAAAACCTCTTCAAAAACTATATATATAACTATAACTATATTAAAAGCCTTTACGTAAGTCAAAGAAAAAGAGTTAAAATAAAAATAAAACAAAATTTTTATTTAATATACAAATTACTATATGATATAAGCTTTTACTTTATATCGAATTCCTTTAAAATATAATAAACTAAAAACTCTTTCGTACGTCACCTGGCATTCTGTTTTCGATCTATGCCTCAAGTGTATACCGAATTTAAAAATGTTTCACTACATGTACCTATATATGAACGACAATTCATCCCGTGATCCACAGATGCGCGGAGGTCGGGTACTGAAGCGCACGGCTCAGTTTGAGACTGAAATATCGCGGGGTAACACGTCACTGAAAACATGTTATTAGTTATGTAGTTATATATTAAAGTTATGTTTATAGTGCTCAAAATTTAATTGTGAAATTATATATTATTAGTGCTTAGATGTTTTATCGGTGGTAAATATTAAATACTGGTTTTCTATTCATCAAATTTTGATACATCATTTGAGCTTTTCGAGTGCATAGTTTAGGCTGATATTTAAAAATATTATAATAATATTGTTTAAAAATTATGTATAGTAAATGTTTTTGTGTTCTAGAAAAATTATTAACATAATTTTTTCGGTTTTTATAACGGTATTCATGATAATCTTGGTTACATCCACCGCTATTTTCCATTTAATAAACGACGCGGTACGAATACTCTACTATCTCATTATTTTTGATAACATACATTTATTTTGGTAATATTATATATAATATGAAAAAAGATAAAATTCTCCTCCATTTAGACTTAAAGATATGTTATTTGAAGCACAAATAACACTTAACTATGTAATTTACACGCAATAGTTTTTGTTCAGGTATATAAAGCAATTTTGATTATTTTTCAAAGCAAACTTTTAGAAAAACGTACAAAAAATTCTATGAATGCCGTTGATTGCCGTACATGAAGATTTAAACTAACAGAGCCAGAATATTAATTAACTGACTTTATAAACGATACAGTTAAAAAGTCAAAAGTGAAATCAAATTCTATTTACGTTTCAATAAACAGAGTTATAAATTCGATGTTTTATAATCAAACTAATAAGTTTAAATTAAACTAATATTTTTTATATTCTATGCGTGCTTTATTTTTGTAAAAAACTACATACTACGTACTACTTTTCAGTAACCGTGATTAGACGACGAGATGTCATAATGACAGGTAGACACGGAGTATGTAGTTTTTACAGAAATAATACATTTAATATATACGAAAAATATTAGTTTCATTTAAATGAAAACTCGCGATAGTATTAGATAACATTGAACTAATAAGTTTAATAAAAAATATGCTTGGAGTTAAGAAATAGAGTGTTATACAGCTTTTTGTATGAAGATTTTTCCGTAGTCATCTTATTAGAAGTACGATTGAAGAGCCTATTCATATAATAGACTATTCTCGACTAATAATTTATATATTAATCTATTTTTTATATAATGTATTATAATTCTAAAATTAAGTCTAAAATCAATACTCTTACCTCAAGTAGCATCGTAACAACAATGAATGAACAGTTTGTTATTCATAAATAAACAAAAAATACTATTGATGTGAAAATGAGAAACGGCAAACTCTTCGTGTGCAGTATGACGATGCGACTCGTACTAAGTGTATAACATTAACTAAATTCAATACTTTTATAAGTAGATACATATGTATAATGAGATCTAAGTCGCGAGTATTCATTTAAATGAAACTTATATTTTTCAGATTAATGAGAACTGGTATTTCGTGAGTTTTATTCATTTAAATGAAACTAATATTTACGGATTAATATGCGCGTATAATTTTTAACTACAATACCGACGTTTCGGTTACTTTACAGCAACCGTGATCATTAATACTAGTAATTAAATTGACATCTCATATTATCATCATAAAATACATGTACTAGTAAAAATATTAGTTTTATTTAATTACATATATATTTATTTTAAGCCGAAACGTCGGGAGTATGTAGTTGTTCCAAAAATATAGTCGCGTAGTATATAAAAAAATATTAATTTCATTTAAATGAATACTAGTTAAATTCTTCGATCTTTACATTATCTTATCTATATAATATTAGACAGAAATGTTCCTGTAATGTTTTATTTTAAATAGCATAAGGACGCTGAGTAGTTTGCATAAGAGAACCATTGACAGCGACTTCTAGGATTTTCTCTTAGTTTTTTAAATTAAACTATACCTTAAATAGCTGAAAGACTGACGAGAGAGTTTTATATAGGAGAGTTTTATATAACGAGAGAGTTTTATACAGGAAATAAAGCAGTACAATCGAGATTTATTACGACTTAGTCAAAAATAATTACAACTTGATTACCAACCTATAATTAAACTCATTGTAATTCTCAACCTTGTCTACGGATTGAAATATTTATATATATTGTAACTGATCTCGAATAAAATTAAATTTACTAAATTTAATATAATTATGGTAATTATTTTATAATTTTCGATATTCAGTAATTAGCTGGGAATATAATTGCAGTTTATTATATATTTTTTTATTAACTACAAAATTCTTTAGTTCATTTTACAATAAAATTTCAATTATTTTGATAAGTTCTACACAGAAGTTTCAAGGTATGAGCGATAATGTATTTAAAACTTACTTTTCGTGATAATAAAGTTCAATATTCAATGTAAATTACTAAAATATTATTATAAGTTAATGGCCCATTTGTTTAATGCGATTGTCACGCTCTAATAATTTCTTATTTATACGAAAACAAACGAATTTTATTATTGATAGTACAAGTCACTATACGATAATTTTTTTCTTAATATATCAAATTAATATTCTAACTTCTTCTTCTATCTAGCAATTTCCCAGCTTTAGCCAGGGTCTGCCTTACATGTTGTGAATAGTTTTGGCTAATTGTTTGTACACCCAGCTGCCTGCCTAAACATCAACCCTCTTTTTTTTGGGAATGCATTAGTCAGTGATGTCTAAATACTCTTAGAAAGTACATATGGCTCTGAAAAATCACATTGGTACTTGCCAGGATCGAACCCGCGCCCTCGTGCATGAGAGGCGGGCCTTTTAACCACTAGGCCACCACTGACTTAATTGATATTCTTACTATTAAGACTTAAATAAATTGTTATAAATGCTAAAGAACTGATTTTGCAACCTTCGTACCAAACGATTAATTTCTAACGCCCACTGATGTTAGGATGTTTATATGTTCTGTACATTACCGTACGTGTTTGTGAATAAAATACGATAAAGTGACTCAAACCGCAATGTATAGTGATGAAATAAAATATATCTTTCGCTCTTAATAGAGTATACGGAACTTTGTGCTTGATATACGCTGAATATGTCGTCTGAGCTAATTTTTTCTAACTTTCCTTTTACTGTTTTCTATGAAAACATAGGAATTATAATAATTTATTTATGAAAATTTTATCACATATCAAATAAGTTAGAAAAAACAAATCGATTTCTTTGAAAATATATTTATACAGTATGGTTAATTCATATACTCCCTCAGCCATGAAAAAGGCTTCGAATTATAGCGAACCATGTCAACGGTTTTCACATTACAGATTTCTTTATCGAATACGAAAAGGTCGGATCAAATCCTTCCTAGTATTTTATTACTTGAGTAACGTAAAAGGTTTAATACTTTAAATCACATTATTTGGGATGAATGACAAATAATTGCCATTAAAAATAACTTAACAAAATGGCGTCCATAAAGTTGAATAATCATTAAAACAAATTAACAAATTCAGACTAAGTCTGAGATATGTTTCAATAAAATAGTTTCCGGGCCTCTGAACATCATATAAGTCTGTATTTTTCTTATATTTCGCTGTTTGTATTCGATCCGACCCACCAATATTTTCATTCGGCCATTGCGACGATATTTATTCGTAAATCGTGTCCCTTAAATTCATACCATTACGGTTTTCCTACTATGAATCAAGTACTACGACATAAATTTTTACAAGGAGGAATAAAAAAGTATTTATATAAGAATAGAATGAAAATAAAATGTCGTCCTATTTAAGCAAAACGTTAATTTTGTGTGAAAACCTCTCAGCATCTCAACGGGTGCGAACAACGAACTGGCCGGGCTGCAAGCATTCATTTAAAACAATGATTTTCTGTGAAAACATAATGAAACACTTGGATATTATATTTACTAAAAAATATATCAAAACTGAGGTCAGAATTTAAAGAGGTTTTATACTTTACGGATTCTATTTAATAAAATTAACAAAAAAGCTCTAATGATGATGTATCCGCAAAATCAGTACTTATTATTTCGATCCACCATTTAATTTCATTACAATTTTTCTAGTTGATATTTAGTTATAAAAAATTTGACAATACTGGAAAGATAGAAAGACTGAATATAGGCCTGACCAACAAACCTTTTTGCTAATAGTGGCATATATCACTGTATAATGTGGCGGGAATTCATATAAGAATATAAAAACTTCTTCGTTTATATTCCGCTGGCTGTAAAGAAAAAAAAGAAAAAGAAATTCTGCTGGCTGTAAAGAAAAAAAAAAAGAAAAAGAACACAGCCGAGTGTTTTGAATTGTGAAAATCTTCGCGGCATAATCAGTGTGCGGGTGGTCGGGGAAGCGTAAACAGCGGCGCGTACTTGCGCCGCGTGAGAGGCAAGCTGGGCGAGCACGCTGCGATGCTGGCTGTGGCGATCTGCTGCATACTGGTGCTGCTGCTCGTGTTCATCATCCTGATCATCGTGGTCGGGCAGAACATGGAGGTGAAGGGCGGCTTATAGCGGCTCAGAGGTAACAGATATATTGCTTACAGATATTACGTCATTAATACATACATAATTCTGGTATTATGAAAAAACAAACAATAAAAGATCGTATAAAATATCTATGAAATTCTATTGTTATAAAACTCGTAATTATTAAATTGGACAGTCAAAAAATTTATTTCATTATGGATCCGTTACTACACAATTCTTTGTGTAATAATCGACAATTGTAATTAGAATTATATGGTCATGATTATTTCATATTTTTTTTTTTTTTTTTTTTTTGTTATCGCGGTGAAAGGTTTTATACCTACCCCTCCGTCTAGGGGGTCTCCCCTAGACGGAGGGGTAGGTAGAGGCGGTTATGTGGGATTCACGGCCAGAAGGGCCCATGTTACCCACTAAAACACCAGCGGTCACTCTCCCTTGCCGCCAAGTGGATCGCCACGGGAAACGCCGAAGCATGCATCCGCGACGATCCGGCGGCGGGCCGCGAACGGCCACCCCCCCCCCCCCGAGGGCTCACTCCAAGTGACCAGGAGTGTCCCCCCGCCTGGCGGGCTTGCTTAATCGCGAGAGGGTTAACCCCTTACCCCTCCCACCCAAACCCACGCGGCCAGTCTCCAACCACCCACCGACGAGCGCAAGCGCCCGACGGCAGACAGAGAGGAAACCGACCGACCACAAGCGAACTCAGGCCTCCGGAGAGACCCGAGTATCCCCTCCCCCCCAAGACAGCCACGGACGGCCTCCTGCCAGATCCGTGACCGTCTTACTCCCAGGGCTGTACCCCCAGCCCTCCCCCCCGTGACTGATTGCACCGGAATACACCAGTGGGCGATGGGGTCGTCACGTCCCGACGCCGGAATGATTATTTCATATTTGTTTTAATCCTAGCCAACAAAATACCTTCCAATAACATTGGATATATAAACAAAGATTTCACAGAAAAAAAATATATAAAGATTTTACCGATTAAATATAATCGATTTTTGTAATAAAGTGTATTGAAAAGATAATCGCGGTTTAAACATCGATTCCGATCGATTAACAAGTTAGGAAGTCTCAACAATTTGATTGTTATCAATTAATTGATTAACTTCAATGACCACGTTAACTGATGCTTTATATCTTATAAACTTTTTGTAACGTCGTCCCATTGTATTGAGACTGACAAAAGTTTTCAATTACGTTCACATTAAAGTTTGTAGTTCATTTAAAGAAACATATTTATACAAGAAAACGAATTATTTTCTTCGACTATATGATAATTACGACTAATGTTTACTACTACTAGCTTACGAGCGAATATATTTTATACACGTAATTCATAATTATGGATAATTAAAATTATCTAGTATCACCTAAGTACATAACCACGTACGTAGCCACTTATAAGTGCAGTCCCAATGAGTCGGTTGGTATAAATAGAGGCGAGGCTACAGATTAATGACAGTCTCGCTCGAGACGTTACAAGGATCGGACCTCTTAGTCGTCAAACTGTCTACGATGTAACCTTCAATAGCCTGAGAGGCTGAAAATCGAGAAGAAAGGCATTGGTGACGTCAGTAATGATGACGTCATTATATTTAAAAAAACGAATATGTACTCAAACATATATTTTTTAATTTTGTTGCTAATGCATATATTTTGTTAGTTCTTTTAGTAGTTTTAATATCATAACTAGTATATAAAATGTATTTTTTGCAATGTGTGAATTTGTAGAAAACTGGTTTGAAAATAATATCCACCGTTTAGAGGAAGGTAGTTCCATAAATCAGAAATAAATTCCTTTTATATCAATAGACAAATAAATTGATCTAGGTCGAACACAAATACAAAAAGATATTTGATAAAAAAAAACAATACTATTATTATTATTTGATAAAAAAAGCAATAAATTAATAACAAATTAAGATATCATTATGAAAATGACTCCTGTATTGCTAATAATCTTATTGAGGCGGTGTAATTTGAAGATCACGTGGTTAATGCCATAATAAAATTATGAACATTCTATTTACTTAAAATATTTAGATCTTTAAAAATTATGAAATATTAAAAAGCTATATATTACAAAGATTAAAAGTATTAGATAGTTCTCATATATTAAAAAAGTAATATGAAAATTCTTTGGCGTAATAACATATTTCGCGAATGACAAAACTTAAATGCATAGCTTGAATAAGGTGTTAAAATATAAAGTAGAAATATATATAGACTAGCTTTCCGCCCGCGGCTTCGCCCACGTCGAGTTCCATTATATCGCGTTTCCAAGAGAACTTTTCAAAAGTCTGGGACAAAAACTATCCTATGTTCTTTATCAAGGTCAACTCTATCTCGGTACTAAATTTCATTAAAATCAATTCTGTGGTTTAGGCGTGAAAGCGTAACAGACAGACAGACAGAGTTACTTTCGCATTTATAATATTAGTAGGGATGAAGAAAAGTTGCGACTAAATTCCTATATATTTGTTTCAATTTTATATATTAAAAATAATTTATAAATATATTCGCTCCGACGTCAATATCATTTTAAATAGCTTTCAATGAAAACACACAATAACTTTCTTATAAATCTTCTGAGTATCTGTATTGTCACGTCTATTCTTCAATATATTTATGTACTCTCTGTTAATTAAACATTAACTTGACTTCACACTTAATATACTTAACAATAATTGAGGAATCAATAATTGACAACAATTATACGACGTTGAACACGATAGGGGAAGTATAAAGTAAAATATCTTTTGATTGAAAAAACACCATATTCGTGTAATGAATCACAATTAAATATTGTACTAGTTTGTCCTGCAATTTCGTCCGTGAATAATACAATTGGATTCAGAAAGACATGTCTAAACTTTAATGTATGTTTAAATACTTGATATAGTACGACTACATACAACTTAATATACATTATACAATACAACTATTATGACTTGTACACGAAAATAGTGAGAGATAAATGATAACTTATGTTGTTTTTACATCAAAGGTATAATAATGTTAAATTAAATTATTCTGATTTTCTTTAAAATGTATATAGCGTAACAAAAACCTAGTAAAAATTCGTGAAAAGCCGACTCTTTTTGAATTACCACTTTCAATAAAATAAATATAATATCAGCTTGAACTTATAAAACGCGATTATAAAATTTTACTAGTGCGTTTTAGGATTTCATGTCTCAAATAGTAACGCCATCTAGTTCATAATAAAGTTACTAAATAAAGATAAATTAACTAGTCTCAACTAGTATGTAGGGTAGAAGTTCAAAAAACAAATATTCACTCGTACTTCCCTCCATAAAGTTTATTTATTTTATATACATATATTAGACAAACCAAATACATATATATACTAGCTGACTGAACATACGTTGTTTTGCCATATAAAAAAAAGGGATTGTTGACAAAAAAGTAAACATTTTGGGTTCTATGTATTTTTTAATGCTACATTATAAGAAAATAAAAATTAAAAACATTAAGGGTGATCAACCCTAATGACTTAGGGGTATGAAAAATCAATGTTGCCCGAGTTTCAGACCTACTCAATGTGTTCACAAAATTTCATCAAAATCGTCCAGCCTTTTCGGAGGAGTTTTGTCTTACACCGCGACACGAGAATTTTATATATAAGATTATATTTTTAAAATATGAGACTGTAAACATTTGTCATTTTAGAACATTTCCCGTGCAATGTTTTCTCATATAATTTTTTTAATTGAAATTCGTGAATCATCACATTAGTCATGACGTTAATGTAATGAGAGAGCTTGATTAAAACATCGCGAAATCATCATAATCATACGAGATGCATCTGTGTGTTTGGTGCAAGATTTTAATTAATACGTAGAATTCTTAGGTCACCTAGTTAACTTTAACTGTACTTTAATGTTGGGAATATTTTAATATTCAGACTTTTAAGACAGACTTTTGATTTAAATTTTAATTTCGTAAAACAATCTTAAGAGATATTTTCGCTAAATGAAGTCAGTGGTGACCTAGTGGTTAAAAGGGCGCGGGATCGATTCTGGCCCCGGCAAGTACCAATGTGATTTTTCCGAGACATATGTACCTAAGAGTATTTAGACATCACTGATTAATGCATTCCCAAAGAGAGTTGATGTCAGGCAGGCGGCCGGTCCTAAAAACAATTAGCTAAAACTATTCACAACATGTAAGGCAGACCCTGGCTGAATCTGGGAAATTGCCAGGTAGAAGAATATTTTTACTAAATGAACGAATATGTATACTCTACATCTGGCAAATTATTATTTCTAATCTTTATCTATCTGTCCTACCGTTTGTTTGTTCTGGCTAATCTCTGAAATTAGTTTATCTAGTTTGATTTGATTCTTACTGATAGATAGATTAAGCTAAGATAGAATGAGTAATAACTTAAGCTAATTTTATTTAAGATAATTTTATTTATTTTTATTAATAAATTAAAAAAATAACTATTTGAGAAGACGAAGACGCGGGAACAGATATTATTAAAATATAACAAATTTTAATTTTTATACGTTTTGAAGAAGTTGTTGTACTAAAACTTTTAACGTGGATTTGCAACGAAGAACTCAATACAGAGATTTATGAGTTTCTCCATTGATACTTATACCGACATACATGACTACAATTAAGTGTAATTTATTTATATTATTGATACTTGTGGCAAGATCTTTATATATATAGTACATAATAAAAAATCAAGACATCTCATTTGAAAGAGCGTTATAATTCAAATTTTTAAAATACTTTCTAAACAGTAAACGAAAGTTATATGAAGTATATTGAATATTCCTCCTGATTATTAAAATATAGAGGAAATTTCTGTTCCTACCTATAATAAGATTCAATAATTTACGTCTATGTTTACACAAAGGGTCCTTTAAATCGTCCGCTAACTTTAATGGAAGGTATTACTCCGAGGTGAGTTGACAAGTCGAGCACGTAGCGCGGAAATAACTACGATATAGCTTTATTGATGAAGACTTATAATATATATACTA